CCACTCATTTCTTAAGCATATCCTCTTTCACATTTTTCACACATTTCACATATTTTGGGACCTTTCCCATCAAAATTTTAAAATGTCTGATAACAATCGAATGTGTAATTTATGTGATGGAAATATCGGATGTTCCCTTATCTGACAGTGACGTCACTTTAAGCTATCTGAGCCTACCAGCCAGTGGTGGGACAGGCCCTAAATCCTGCATTTTGCATGTTTTATGTCATTGTTTAATTACCTAGCGATTCATTAGAGTTAAGTTGACCTAAGTTTAAAGAGTAAAACAAGTTACGTAGTTATAAAAGCATTTCATGAATTTATCGGGCCTTAACGAATGGTTAAACGTAGCTGTGTAACCGACCATAAAAGATATACGAGTATAGGGACTGCAGGTATGGACATGTTTAAGGAGGCAGAATCTCATATGACATTTGAATGTGATAGGTATAGTACATGTAGTACAGTAGGTATATATGAATAGTACACTGCTAAAGGAAGAGTACACTAAAAGAGATGCATTGCGTAAAAGTTGACGTGATTATGAGATTAAGAAAAGGGACAGAAATGTTGATTGGCAAAGGTTCTATACGAATCTTTCAGCAGTGGAAATCTACGGTTACAAAACTATGCTATTGTGTTTGGCGTCTATAAATTATCCATGTCTAAACAATTAACTTAACGCATACTTATATCGGCTAGTTAAACTGAACTAGATATGTCTAGATATATTAGGATCTAGAATCTAGAATTATAGAAAGTGGGAATCATTTTTGTTTTAACATCTTAGCATAAATTACAGTTGGCATTTCTAAGAATAAAAAATGTACCCCCTTAAAAATGTTTAATAAAAATTTAATGTTCAATACCAAAGTCGTAAGTTTTGTAAAAATGTCCTTATTAGGAAATAATTCAGAACTTCAAGGCGTCTATTATGTAGTCTTTCGATAATTGTTTCGATCACGTTTTTCACGTGCGAAACGTTTCTGTAAATAAGGTCCAATATCGAAAGTGATCGATGAGTTCGTAACTGTGTCGCCGATCATCTGGATTCGGCACAGAGTAACGAATTTACAGAGAGCTTTCAAAAAATATTAACATACATGTCTTTTAAAAGAAATTGCGCGAACGGATTAACGTGTTTGATACAGTTAAATTTAATGTAAAATACGAAAACTTGAAGTTATTCTTAATAAAATACCTACATATGCGGAGCCAGCTGTTTCACAGATATTGAACAAAATTACAAAAGACACAAGTCACGACGGAAGTCATATAAGACAATGCATAAGACAGTCCAGCAAGCATGTTGTGGTATTTTAACAGAGGATGCCTTTCAACCCTTTATTTTTGTCTATAGGACCAGATAAATCTTTCAATAACATCAAACACATGCATGAAATGGCTATATGTGAAATTTCTGTGTGTTCGAACTAGAAAAAAAATTATTATCTGTGCTTGTTTGCTCTGTGACAAACTTTGCTGCATAATCCATGTGACATTTCCGACAATTTTACAACCCGGCAGCAGAGCGATGCAAAACAAAATCTCTCGTTACAATTGCAATATTACAAGTTTTATTATTTCCAAAAAGAAGTTTCTATTATTTGTTCTACAATGAACACAGCATTGCTCTGTGCGTCCTCGGCGACAGAGAACGTTAAGTTGTCTGTCACGCGTGCGTCGCTTATGAAAATGTTAAACATTGTTGTACGGGGCCTCTTGCGTCAGAGGAGCGTGTTGGCTACTGAAAATTGATCAAGGATATACTAGATTGACGCGCAAATACGATGTTAACTTGTCAATCTATCAGAGTAAATATGACCTAACTTTTATACGATAACGCTTGTGTAAACCCACGGTTATTGAGGTGTAAATCTAATTAAATAGTGCTTGAATGTTTGTCTTTTTTTTAACCTGCGGATCGAATTGTTAGGAGATTTCTGGATTTCTTATTACAATAATTTCACAATAGGTTCCAAAATTTATTTTCATTCTTTAGCAGCAAGAACTAGCATTTTAATGTTGACACAATTTTTAAAATGTCTAGTAATTTTTGGGATTATTAGATACAAACACAAAAATACAAATCTTTACTCGTTTTAACAATAAGTATTGAAATGGCAGGTCTAATAATAGTTTTCAATATGATCTCCCCATCCTTATACTTCTTTGGGGTCGGGGCAGCAAGTTTTTGACTTCTAAGTTAATCTATCTTCCATCACCTAGGTTACTCCCTTCTTGATATCTGCTTCAGCAATCCATCTCTCTACACCTTTTAATAAAACGAATTATATCACCAGTAATGTACAACAAAACAATAAGTCACGTATCCAAATGGGTAGTAAGTAAGGCTTACGAATTACCGACTTGACCCCACAGGTAACCTTCGCCAATTTCGACAGACCATCGTTTATTTCGCACGCGTCGTCAACACAAAATATAGCGAAATATGTCATGTACCGAATAGTAATTGTGCTTTTGTTAAAACAAAATAAACAACTGAAGATCATCTTTTCAATCCAACATAAGTTTTAATCTAAACAAATGTAAAGAAGAAATTTATATTTTTTATGTAACGACTAAACTCGAATATTACTAAATCGATTTAAAAAATTCCTTCACTCTTAGAAAGCTACTTTATCAATGAGTAACATAGATTATTTATTACTAGCTGTTGCCCGCGACTTCGTCCGCCTGGTATTAATAGGCATACGAACTATAAGAATAACAAAAGGCTACGAATCCCGGGAACCGGACATTTCTCGGGGATGAACCTTATCCCATGTGTACTCTAGACTTTGTTTTATATATGTGCCAAATTTCAATAAGATATGTTGAACCGTTGCAGAATGTTCGAGTAAACATTAAAAAACTAAATTAATGAATCCCACGGTAACCGTAACTATTCCCAGGATAAAAAGTAGCCTATGTGTTCTTCCAGATTGTGGTCTAAACCTGTGCCAAATATAATGGAGATCCGATCAGCCGTTTAGGCTAAAAACAAACATCCATCCATCCATCATAACTTTCGCATTTATAATATTTATATGATTTACATGATATATAATTAGATTTTTTAGTACGGATAAAGGCTCAAACAAAAGTTTAACGGCGACATATTCATTCGCGTCTGTCGGAATGATTACAGTGACCACGCTGCTAACCGAGTAGACCTTGACCACTAATTCCATTACAAACAAATAAATATAACATTTATAGTAATACAAATAAAGCTTATTTTGCAATGATCGATGTGATCAAGGTTTGAAGGGTTAAAGGTTCAGATACGATCGTTTATTTGTATGAGAAATTGACTTTTAACAAATCTTTATCTTTAAATCTTTATCTTTAAAGTTTTATTAAAACTCTATTCTCGCTTTTATTTCGAACTATCCTCATAATAAAGGCTCTGGCTTCCATGCTAGAGGAATTGTATAATTTAAATAAAAAAAAAACTATCGTCATAGATATTTTAGTTCTGTACAACAAATAAAACAATACAAACACAACCTTCTCTGTAATCCAGAGGGGCAGGCATAACGGAATTTTTGGCACTACTGACACACCTCGCCTCTTCCACATATGTTCATCTTTCGGGTGCTTTTAAAATATCCACTATCCTGAAACTAGAGGTCCTATTATGAATTCTAAACAGCTGCGATAAAGTGTTATAACGTCATTAACAAAAAAATGTACACTGCACAACCCTACTAAATGTCGATTTCGATACGAATTTGTCGTACGAATATTCACGATAAGCTCTCTGTATTACCAGAGTATTATCATCCCGCTCTTTCGCTTTAGTGTAACAGAGATAGCAATAGTATTCGTGAAGCTGTTATTCGCGGTAAACATGACTGAACGTTACCCTGGTAATGACTCAATAGTGCTAATTTTAACTTTAATTAATGTTAAACAATGTTAATTGATGTAATACTTATTGTTACCGCTTTCACTCACACCGGACCAGATTATACTGGTTTTTATCATAAATAAACGTGGTAACTGATATTACTTGGTATGTGCAAGCGTGATAGAAGATGCGAACCCTTTTAACTCGGACAAATTTTAAACAAGACAATGCAATACTAAAGAATGCACAAATCTGCCTTGCAAAGCCGCGTGGAACGGACTGTCGTCGGCGGTATTTCCAAACGAGTACAACTTAGGGTCCTTCAAGAAGCGAGCTTACAATTTCCTCAAATGCCGGCAACGCTGTAGTATCTCTGGTGTTGCGGATGTCTATGGTCATCAAATATCAACTTGGTGTTCCCGCCACTCGTTCGTCTCTTTGTATTATAAAAGAAAACATAAATGGTTGCTTAATACTATGAGTGTACATTTCCAAAAATAATTCTATGCCAAGAAACTCTCGAATTCTTAATTGATTAACTAAATACACAATTTATTATATCAAATTAAATACGATATTTTCAAAGTTATTAATATATCTATGTGAATATTTACAAATTTTTCCATACTTAACGATTCTCAGACTTTTTTGCTAGTAAGTTTATGAATTTGTCCTTTGCAAGATAAATGTTTGTAGGGGATTCCCAGTCTACAACATTAATTCTGCGAATCAACGCTGCACTTTTGTTACCTTTTACGTTGGTATACCTTTCGAAAATATAACCTTTTTTTATACCATAAGGTAGCAAACGAACAAGCGGCCACCTGAATCCGCCAAAATGGCGAAGCGACCGCTGCCTATAGACATCCGCGATCGCAGATGCGTTGGCTACTCTTATTCGACGAAGGAGACGCACATAAGGAGGACATTATCCCTTCCTAAGCATCTCCTCTGCACTCAAATCCACTTTCCCGTCCCATACTTTCCTTATAAGAAAAGGATTAAACGGGAAAGGGACTTTAATTAAGGCCTTCGTTTTGCTTATAGAATCTATCACTATAAAAGCTATGCATTTTATTGCACTGTACCGAACACTTCGTCGTCTTAACTCACACTAATAAATAATGTTTTCTTCTTGTTACAGCCCGCCTACATTCAAGACGCTAACGCCGACGTCGCGCACACAGCTGAAACAGCAGTTGATGCGAGAACATGCGCAGGAGCAACTGCGCAGGGAATCATTACAGGTATCCTTTTGCTCTAATTCTTTGACTTCCATAAACTATATACCCGCAGTGCAGCGTGGTTGACTGTGGCCTAGTCACTTCTAACTTAGGGTAAACTCCAAATCCTTTAAAAGGGACGTAGTGAGCTGGTGTTGATTCTTCAAGTTTCAGACCCTACTACTCAACAGTTGCACAGTTGGTCACTACAGTTCTATCCCCCATCTCTTTGACTTACTGGTTAACATAGGCCATAAATTAAAACAAAGGAATGCATATAATCATCAACTTACCCTTGCACCTACGGAATCCACTCTCTTCTAAAGCATATCCTCTTTCACACACTCCATCCATACTTTCTTTGGTCTTCCTCTACCTTTGTAGCCATTCAATCTTAACATTTTCTTGTTTATGTCCCCTTTTGTCACGTAATGGCATAATATCTTTCACCACTTAAGAGAAGCTTGGTATCGCTAGTATTTTTTTTATATTTCCAGACACAACAGGGTCAGTCAAAAGAAAATGGCGAGGACAAGAAGAAATCGAGTCCGACAGACGTGCCGCGTATCACGCCGCATGTCGAACTACCTCCACAAGTATTGCAGGTGAGAACTTAATACTCATAACTTCGGGAAAGGACAAATCCCAGTAATGGTTCTTGATTTGCCAGATACAGAGACGTTCACGGTCCTATAAGATAAGACGTGACAATGAACCCAGGTGTTACAAAATCAAATATCGGATTATTACCAACCGTCACCCCGCTTTGTCCCAACGTGAGAATAAAAAGTTTCATCGGTCCTTTTAGTCCCACTATCAACAATAAGATGACAGATAAAACCGTTATGAAATAAAATAAGTTCCAACCGGCCCTCGTCGCAAAAGGTGGGATGGATGAACCTTTATATTCTTATCTGTTCCCACGTGGGGACAAATCGGGGTGACGGTTGAGAATAATACCTGTGTAATACCACGACCCCACAGACGACTCGTATACATTATTGAGTGTCCATTAATTCTCATATAATTTTGTAACAAGGAAAAGATTTTAAAAGAGATCTCGACATGGGAAAGAACAAGGGAATATTTTAAGTTCCTGCACTTGTAGCATTTTTAAATTTCAATGCATTGTATTGTAAATAAGCAAGACATTCTCGACTCATCAGTGAAGTGCTAAACTCCCAGTTCATTATCTACCATCACGTATTACTTATGGTAATTATCGTTTTAACTGCACTTAAATCGTGTCTGTCCGTACATCCGTACATTGTTATACATAGCTTATGTTTAGCAATTAGCAACAACTTGTCGAGTTATATTTTGTTTATGTTTGAGTCAATGCTATAGGAAATGTACTCGTTTCAGACTTCTTAGATTTTATAACTTCTTTTGGTTCGAAATCATGTATGAACATATTATAAAAACCCAACAGTAATAATCAAAACGACTAAATAACCTAAATTACAGATCAAACATAATTATTAGAGCAAAATTTTTATTAACAGCGCCATCTGTCGATGTGTTTCTGCAATTGAATGTTAAAACTTTGTATGTTTGTATACGCAGGTGCGAACGGTTCTGGAGAACCCCACCAGGTATCACGTGATACAAAAACAGAAGAGCCAGGTGCGACAATACCTCAGTGAGTCCTTCCAGCCTCAGACACAGGTAAAGATGCGTTAACATCAACGCCATCTAGTTTTAAATATTTTAATTGATAAAAGCGCCATCTATTGTTCAGTTTGGACATTAAGGGTATATTTCAAAATATACCCTGAATCTTTAACACTCAAATATATATAATGAATTTATTTCTCTAGTCTATTTTGTTTGTAATTATTGATATTTGATTATAACAACAGCCAAGTTATGGACTTAGATGTTACCCTCTCCTGTCATCGTTTCTGTCTAAATTGGTACACTTTTTCCTCTTTATGGTTATTTGTACGTGTAACTGATATGTCAGGTAAATTCGGGCGGGCGCGGCGCGGTGCAGTCGGCGCCGGAGCTGTGCGCGTCCCCCGAGCGCGCCTCTAGCTTGCTGAGCCCTAATCTCTGCTCATCCACCGTTAACACATCTGAAGTAAGTGTTACCGATTTCACTTAAGTTTAAAGACTGTACCTTACACATTACTCAAGCAGAGTAGTAGTTTAAAACTATCTTTAGTTTAAGCAACTGGGTCATAAGTATGTATTGAAGACAGTTTTCATAATTGATTCTTCTCAACTAAGACACGGCCGTATCCTGAAACGAACCTCAAGTAAGATGTGAGATATTCAAAACGGAATTTATAGTTTAAGCGTGTCCTGTTTTAAGTCACTTTAAAAAGTTATAGCACGAGCACCTTTTTGACTCACAACTGTTTTGTCTCGTTTTGAATCCTATGAGCTAATATAGAGGCTGCACTACTCGATTTTTAGGTGTGCAACTAAACAGTTGAATTGGCTGCGAAACAATCGACAACTGTTGTGCGATAGTTTAGTCAAATATGTGTTTCAGTATTGTTAACTTGTGTCCCAGACGGACGAGTTCCTGGAGGACATCCTGTCGCTGGACAGTGGCGCGGCGCGCTCCTCCGGGCCGCCGTCCGCCGCCAGCTCGGTGGCCGGCGACTGCGCCCTCCTCAGCGACGCCGACATGCACGCGCTCGCCAAGGACAGGCAGAAGAAGGACAACCACAACATGAGTGAGTGCCGGATAACTTGTCATGTGCGATAGATGGCGTTGATCTTCATTTTGTTATTATTTTCATATTTGTTTTAAAAGAATGAAAAAAAAAAAACAATTTTAATTTCAAACGTGCGATAATTTACTTAGGAGCCATTCATTTATATTAGTTGTTTTTATTTATTTATTATGATTTATACTAGTTAAGGGCCCTTTTTAGACAAATCCAGTCGAAAAACCCAGGTTAACATAAGCGTACATATACTTTAATTGACGCTTGTATACAAGTGAAATATAACAAAAAATCTATAAAAAACTGGTTAGAGGCCCTCGCCACAATTCCAGTCGAAACACTTCCTAAGTTCAACATAAACACATACTTTACTTGCCCCTTCTTACACCTAATATCTATAAAACACTAATTAAGGGCCCTTTTTACACAATTCCAGTTGAAAGACGTCGTCGGTTCAACATAAACGATCGTATAAAGGAATTAGGGACGTTATTACCAAAGACCAACGACCCTTTCTACGAGGTGATCCGCGACGTGCGCCCCAACAAGGGCACTATCCTCAAAAGTAGCGTTGACTACATCAAGTGTTTACGAGACGAAGTAAACCGACTCAAGCACTGCGAACAACGAAGAAAACAGATAGAATTGCATAATAGGAAATTAATGCTAAGAATACAGGTAAATTAATATACTAATTAGGGTCCTTCTAATAAGAGAATCTTCTCAAAATCTTACAACGCATTTTTCTGATATTGGGGTCCCTGGATGACCTGGTATCCCAGTTGCATGTTACTGTAATAATACGTTTTTGTATTTAATGAATAAACTCAAAAACTACTAGACTACAAATCTGTCTCTTTACGAAATTGAAGACGTGTAGCTCAAGACGTTTAATCCATGTTAAAGATATTTGTACAATATTTCTAGGGTAATAAGATGAGCTTACGTCATAATCGGTAGGGCCTGTAGAATTTAAATTTCAAATAGATATAAAAATACTTAAAAATCATGATTATAGTCCCTGTAGTTTCACAAAGATAACTCAAAAACTACTTGTAATTTTTCAGTGTATTAATATTTCAGGAATTAGAGAGGCTAGCGCGAGTGCACGGGCTGCCGCTGGGGGGCGAGGGCTGGCCGGCCGAGGAGGGGGAGGGCGAGGCAGGTACGGGGGGCGCGGGGGGTGCGGGGGGCGAGCCTCCGCCCTCGCAGCCTAAAGCACCGAAAACACCTTCCACACCTGTACGTATTCACTTAACTTTAACTTAACTATTTTAATTATTGTCAACATATCTTCTACTTAAAATCCAATCATTAAATTCTTCATTTTGTTTGATATCACCATGCTTTTAACATTTTTAATTCTGGAATGAGTACAGATTGTGTTAAATAGGGGTATAATGGGAATGAATTCAGAAATTACACTGACTGTACAGAAAGGTACAGTCGCTGATACGCGGTTTTCACTTTCGCCTTGTTACTCACGAGACAAACTTTTATGTAACCAAATATACATACGAGTATAGCAATGGTTTGCATACGAGGGGATAATAATAAAAATACCCGTACAAAAAACAATTTGCCATGCACTGAGCGTTCTATTGGTTATTATCATCATATTGCGTACAGCTCAACCGACTGTTTCTAATTCCACTGCTAGATTCCCTAATTGTATTAAGTTTGGTGCCTGTTTTTGTCACTGGGCTAGCGTTTACTATCATTACAAGAGTAACGAAGAGTAAGAAAATTAGGGTAGTTTAAGTGGGAAAGTTTATCTGATACTTATTTGAGTGTTGACCGCAGGAGGCAGTGCTGCCGAAGCGCGAGCCCGCGAGTATGGAGGTGGGCGAAGCGCCCGACCTGCTGCGAGACTGCCTGCCGCCGCTAGACGCATTAGGTAAATATATTACACAAAAGCCCTCTTTAACTGTATAAAGGTCTTTATACAAAAAGGTACTCTTTATTCGTTACACACTAAGACAGGGCCTCTTGCTGTTAGTTATACAGCAAGGCCCTTTCTTAGTATGAATGAAATTTGTTGGTTACACTCGAAGGCCCTTTCTTAATATTAATGAAATTTGTTGGTTACACTCGAAGGCCCTTTCTTAATATTAATGAAATTTGTTGGTTACACTCGAAGGCCCTTTCTTAGTATGAATGAAATTTGTTGGTTACACTCAAAGGCCCTTTCTTAGTATGAATGAAATTTGTTGGTTACACTCGAAGGCCCTTTCTTAGTATGAATGAAATTTGTTGGTTACACTCGCAGGCCCTTTCTTAGTATGAATGAAATTTGTTGGTTACACTCAAAGGCCCTTTCTTAATATGAATGAAATTTGTTGGTTACACTCGCAGGCCCTTTCTTAGTATGAATGAAATTTGTTTGTTACACTCGAAGGCCCTTTCTTAATATGAATGAAATTTGTTGGTTACACTGGCAGGCCCTTTCTTAGTATGAATGAAATTTGTTTGTTACACTCGAAGGCCCTTTCTTAGTGTGAATGAAATTTGTTTGTTACACTCGAAGGCCCTTTCTTAGTGTGAATGAAATTTGTTGGTTACACTCGAAGGCCCTTTCTTAATATGAATGAAATTTGTTTGTTACACTCGCAGGCCCTTTCTTAGTATTAATGAAATTTGCTGGTTACACTCGAAGGCCCTTTCTTAGTATGAATGAAATTTGTTGATAACACTCAAAGGCCTTTTCTTAGTATGAATGAAATTTGTTGGTTACACTCAAAGGCCTTTTCTTAGTATGAATGAAATTTGTTGGTTACACTCGAAGGCACTTTCTTAGTATGAATTAAATTTGTTGATTACACTCCAAGGCCCTTTCTTAGTATGAACTAAATGTTTGTTACACAAAAAGGCCCTCTCTTAGTATGAGTGAAATTCTGTTTGTTACACAAGAAGGCCCCCTCTAAGTGTGGAACAGTGTTCGTTACACAACAAGAGGGACTCATGCAGTGTGTACTAAGTGTTCTAAAAAAAGTCTGTTTCTCTTTGCAATATGTAAAAGTGTACTCGACTTCAGGTTTTCTAGTTAGAAAATATAAGTTTTTACAATTAAACACACACAACTAAAATCTATTTTTTGATAAAACTACATACATATTTATATTGGTTTCTCATATTTTCCTTTTTAATATTTCAGATGGCCTAAAACTAGGTTCATGTTCACCTTTAGGGCGAGAAGCTCTATCAGAAGGTCTTTCCGAAGGTTTATCGGAAGGCCTATCAGAGGACCTTCCCGAAGGCCTTTCGGAAGGTCTAGGCCTGGGCTGCCTCACTCCGGGCCTCTGTCTGGACCCCCCGCCTGATATGTTCGATCACAAGGACATCAAGGTAACAGCATTTGTACGTGAAATCTTTTTATTTTTTATTTATGTTATTTGTTAACGCTTTTGTGTGTGATTGTACTAACAGCTTTTGTGTGCCTTCTTTGAGAAATAGCCTTAAATGTGTTTTATTATGTAGTTAGTGAAATAAAATAACCTCACACGAGTTATATGAGGTTGTGAGGTCAATTGCAAATATGGGGTCCTAAATTGTTGAAAAATCTTACCAATATTATAAATGCGAAAGTTCAGATGGATGGATGGATGTTTGTTAGAGTTTGTAGCTTAAATGGTTAAACATATCTCGATGAAAATTTGGTATAGATGTAGAGCATAGTCTGGAAGAACACATAGGCTACATACTTTCTTTTTTAATTGCACGCGGACGGAGTCGCGAGCGTAAGCTAGTTATATATAATTTTGACAAAATACAAAAGATTAATGTTTTATTCTATAACCCCCTTTTTCGGTGTCCATGAACAATTCCCATTTGAGACCCCCTAGGGGGTCCCTGTTCGCTTTGACTGTACAGATGTTTTCCGTCTTTATGTTATAGCTATATTTATATATATGTATATTGTGTGCGGTACATAATGTAAGTGTAAATAGTTCTCGGAGCAGATGCGGCTGTCGCCGCTGCCGCTGCTGGGGGGCGTGGGGGGCGTGGGCAACCTCGCGCAGATAGAGGACCTCATGGACGACGACTCACACAACCCTGTCACACAAGGTAATATCTATATCTATACTAGTATTATAAAGAGGAAAGATTTGTATTTTTGTATGTATTGAAATAACTCAAAAACTACTGCCTATTTCAAAAATTCTTTCACCAATAAAAAGATACGTTATTGCTGAGGAACATGGGCTATTTTTTAATTTAAATGAAATATATATTTGTTATTTATATTTTAGGTGATCCAATGTTATGTTCGTCACCGACATCTCTGGGGTTAAGCTCGGACTCCATGCTGCACGACGACTCGCACGCATTCTCGCACCAAGGTAAGGTTTACACTAAATATAGAGTTTCAGATTTACTACCGTGGGCTTTATTACTACGCCCTCAAACTGTAATACAAAATTATACGAAAACAGCCGTGGCGCCCATTTTCGGGACTGGCGCCCTTTTTTGAAAAAATGGCGCCCATTTTAGTATTTATGGCGCCTTTTTTTGCAAATGTGCCCTCCTTTATGCGTCTGTAGCGCTCCTTTATATGGCAAAGTTAAAGTTACATTAAAAATATATTTCTAGACCTTTAGCAATTAATTTTCAAGTTTTTCTTTAATATTTTATCATCCGAAATTTTTCAATTTCATTCTGAATTTTGCACTAACTTAAATTAAAACTGAATAGGGTAAACTCAAAGTTATAAAGTGATATTTCTTATTCCAGGTTCGAATTTGCTTAGCGAAGGTCTAAGTCTAGGCACATCGCTGTCCCTAGGCGACAGCTGCCTGCCGGGGCTGCTGCTGGGCGCCCAGCACAGGCACCACCACGCGCCCCACTCCCCGCGCTCGCACCCGCGCCCCTCCTGCTTCGACATGGACCTGGGGGCGTAATACATACATACATACATATCTCTAAAATACCTAACTGGTCATTCGGAATATGGTCGTTAATATGTTTGGGGGTCCTAATCGTATAACTAACACCCCCAAAAAAATATTCTTTTTTGACGCATTATAAAGATTATTCCCCTAATAGTCTTTATTTAAATTATATAGATTTATTTGCGATTTTTTCTTAATACCGACCCCCTAAAAAGTCGGACCCCCAAAAAACCATGTTCCGTCTAACCATTATAGTAAAATTTCTTATTCAAATACTTAGAAAAATCTCTCAAAAATAGTTACAAAACCATATATAAAAGTTGTTTTTGTTAAAATTTCAATTTCATAAAATCTAATCAAATATGCACTTTTTTACCTTCACATAAAAGTCAAATTCGCTCAAAACCATAAACATTTCAATCGATTATCTATGAATCGAATATACCATAGACTAATTTGACAATAAGTTCCTTCGCAAGTTTCGTTGTGATAATGTTACCAGCTTAACTTATATTAAAAATAGTTGTTGCTCGCGACTTCAACCGCGTGAAATTAAAAAATATAGCCTATGTTACTCACAGATAAATTACCTTTCTAACGATGAAAGAATTTTAAAAATCGACCCAGTAGTTTTTGAGTTATTTCAATACATACAAAAAAAAAACAAAAATAAAAATCTTTCCTCTATAAATATTTTATAGTCGAGAAAAGATATATTTGGTCATATTTGGCCAATTACAGACGTAATTGTTAAAAAAAATATTTTAAAACATCCTTTATTTGAATCAATAAACTAAACATAGATAATATTTTGTTGTGGTTTTAAAAAATGTACAGTAATTATATAAAATCATGTTTTGTATATTTTTAATCTATTTTTTGGTATTTTTAACATTTGCCAAAGCCACGTATAAAATACATGGTGTTTATAAAACATATAAATATATTTTTATAGTATTTTTAATATTCATATCTTAGTAGTTTTTTTAAATATACACAAAAACTGGGTATTTTAGTAAAGGACCACGATATTATTACAGAAAATGTGATACAATATATTTTTAGAACGTTTATTGTGAATTACGAATTCTAATTTTTTGTAATTATAGTTAAAAGCGTTATTTTGTAGCGAATAATTTAAAAATATTAGTCGCTTTATTGTAAATATTTTTTTGTTGTTGCAACACTGGTTGATGACGTCACACAACGGTCGCTCGTTAAGTTTTGAATTTAGAATTGCCAAAAAATAAATCAATATTAGTGTTTATAATCTATGCTTCAATTTTTATGAAACATCCATAGATATATAAACTATAGACCAGAACACGAGGCAAAAAAAGCATACGGAGGCCTTTTTTGGGTCAAATTCATTCAATAACACGTCCATCTATAGACAATATATCTATGGATGGCATTGATTGTATTTTATTTGATATGGTGTTTAAAAAAACATACGTAATCGTTTAGATATATTATTTATTTAATGAGATATCTAATTTTAAGAAAGGCAGCTCATACGAAACACCCTGTATTAGGTAAAATAATTACCAGAATATTTACTGAAACATATGCGAATAAAAAGGCAATAAAATAACACTGATGTATGAATTTGTATGGACTATCAACGAATTCTAAAACCATACAAATCCCAATACAAAAAAAGTTAGTTACTATGCGATCACAAAAACATGATATTCATTAGTTTTGACTTAGTAAAGAAAGCCTATAGTGCATTTTCGTAGCAAATGGGGGGATAGCTACCCCCCAGATAATGGAAATAATATATTTTTTTTTACTAAGAAACAAAATATCAGTTTTTCATTATTTGAAGCACAAATTGTAAAACATTTTCAATAAAAAATTTTTTTTACTACTAAATCCCCCCTTTAGGTCTAGTCTTAAGCAGCGAATTACGATCCCCCCTTAATTTAGTATGGATTTACTAAACTAAGTTACAGTTTGAGTAAAGTGGACTATGAGTAACAGAATTGTGATTTCGGACACGTAAGATCGTATGAGGTCATCGTAAGGTATCATGTTTTTGTGTGCGTATAGTAACTATTGTAACAGAGCTAATGTTGTTGTTTTTTCAAATTATTTAATATTTCTGTTATTGTTGTGTGTAGCTCGAATTTTATTGGTTTGTATGTATGAAGGGATTATTTAATAATGCTTATATAAATCTTGTTATATACTTGTTTTGTTATTTATATTATTATTTTAACAATACAATAAAATCTAAAATATAATATTCAAAATTCAAAATATGCTTCATTATTCAATGTATTTAACTATTTGTATGGAATACCATACATAATGTATGGAAAACACATTTTTGGTCTAAAATGGTTTCAGAAAATAAAACTATAAGCAAATATGTGCTTAATCAGAAATGTATGATATCATACAAATATCTACGTTTATGTGATAAATTCTTTTAATAAAAATGTATGAAGATGTATGAAAATATGAATAGAAAAATTTATTCTAGAGATTGCTTTATCAGTGCTGTTACCTTTTATCACAAATGTATGGATTTGTATGAATTTGTATGACCAGAATAAGAAATATCAATTAGATAATCGATTACTACGCAGTTTACTTTATCGTTTTTGACGTTTTACAAATTTGTATGGAAATGTATGACTCATATAATATTTTTATCATTGATATCGTGTTATATAGAAATACTTTCGGCCTTTTGGTTGAAGTTTCGGTGCCTTAATGCTTAGATTTAAGTTCAAATCCGTTTAAAACGTATTTTAAGATGTTTCATAATGTTTGTGTCGATTTTGAAATTGCCGATTTCGGTGATTTGCGAGACATAGTTGGATCAACTTTTTCGACCCGGTGAGTATTACAATTAGATACGTCAGTAATATAAAAAAGGACTGACAATAACTAAAAGCACTCCGACAAGGATTTGTGTCATTGATAGGAGAGTGCTAGGGAGATATCGTGTCACTTTTATGTCACTTATGTTCACCGGGTCAGATAAGTTAGTCCGACTACACGGCTAGTGTATGACTACTAGCTTCAAATTGTTTTTTTTCTCCGTGTGAATGCTATTTAAGTATTGTATGAGATTAAAAAAAAAAGAAATATTGAAGTACAAAAGAGTATTGAAATATACTTGAATGAAAACGGTGTTTTATTTACTTCCTAATAAATTTGGTTAAAAACCTCTTATAAAAAAACGATTTGATATATCTGTTAACATTTTAGCATACACAAAGCAATAAATGTTACTTCTTACATTATAAATGCCAAAGTTTAGATTGATGTTTGTTAGAGTTTGCAGCCTAAACTGAACGGATCTCAATGAATTTTATCATAAACTAGCTGTTCCCATGCGACTTCATCCGCATTAAATTATAAAAATTTCATTTTATTGTTCACATTTGTTAAATTATCAATTGCAAAAATGACATGACATGATGACAAACCATGGCGACCTTGCTTCCTTGATGTTGGCAACAACTTATGGTCTCTTTCCCACATTAGGATTATTATCCAAAATATTTCCAAAAGTTTAACAGCGTGAAAATATATAGCCTAAAGCGTGAAAGTGTAGGGCTTTTTATTAAAAAAAAGAGTTATTCGAAAATATGCTGTAATTGCTGACATCTTAGGCTACAAAGAAGTGTGTGTCTACGCTTTATTATATTAGTATAAAATATAAATTTGCTGGTTCTAGCGATTTTGCCCACGTGAAAAAATAATGAAAAAAGTAGCCTGTGTTACTCACAGATAAATTACCTTTCTAATTGTGAAAGAATGTTTAAAATCGGCCTAGTAGTTTTAACGTAATTCGACAACATACAAAAATACAAATCTTTCCTCTTAATAATACATAAGAACCTCGATAAGTTAAAGTCCAAGGGAAACACAAAATAATTTAAGTTATAGAGGTTTTAATTTATCAAGTGTCTATGTAAAGGTTATGGGCTCTGATGGGAAGGGAACATATTTTTTGAAGTTATAGAGGTTTTTATGTTACCGAGGATTGAGCTATCAAGGATCTACTGTAGTATAGATATCTTGTCGCGTCTATTTCTTTGTAAGTAACCAATGTCATAAAAATCTAATATTAAAAAGTAACGAAACATTTATTAGTCGAGAATTGAACATCACGACTGTCTTGTTGTTTTAATAATAATATGAAAGTTTGTGTTTTTTTTCAAACGTGTCCAAAAATAGCTTATAACATCACGATGTTAGTCTCATATAAGTTGTTTTATTACGCGAGGTTTTATTGACAGATGTGCTATAGAATACTATTCTAAAAAAAAAGATTTCGAGTTGAATTCGTGAATACTATCAAGGGACAGACATTGTTTACTTAGCGTGGGTCGCATCATATCGCCGGTTGTCGTTAAAGTTAAATTTATAACAGTAATATTTGGAATAACCTTAAAATTAACTAAGGGTGAGTTACATTAACTAACTATAAACCTTAACCAGCGCATTCCCGATGGTTACGTCTACGGTTGTTCATGATATTCGCTGCACCAGTGTTACGATGGTCAAAATGACGTCATATTTGACGCATATCATAACCGCTCAATTTTGGTCGGTTATAGTTAGCGCTACCGTTCTTATCATCAAAAGTACTAATAAGGTAAAAAGTAATGGAAAAATATTGAATGTTTGGACACATTTAGAGTGTATAAGGCCGTAGCATAGCGCTTGTTTATCCCCCTTTCCTCTATCTTATTTTCCTCCTTATTTCCTCTATCTATAATATATATATCTCTATAATAAAACGAAAACACACACTTCTTTGTTGCCTAAAATGTCAATCATTTACAGCGTATTTTTGAATAATTCTTTTTTTTAATAAAAAGCCCTACACTTACGTCACGCTTTAGGCTATATATTTTCACGCCATTAAACTTAGGGTGTAAATATTTTGGATAAAAACCCTAATGTGGGAAAGAGACCATAAGTCAGCCAACATCAAGAAAGAAAGATTCCTAAGGTTTATCAAGTCATGTTATTTTGACATTTGCAATTGATAATTTGACAAATGTAAACAATGAAATAAAATTTTCATAATTTCTTGCGAATGAAGCCGCACGGAAACAGCTAGTTTAAAAGAAATGTACTCCAAAGAACAATTAATAGCGATAGAACATAAATAAAATGCATTTACATTTGTATAATTCTTTCACCATTAAAAGCATTATCGTTAACGACTACTTTTTTACCATTTATTAATTTTAAGTGGACGAACTCGCGAGCAGCACCTAGTCTCTTATAAAAAAGGAAATCTTCATACCTCTTTTTAAGTAATTGCTTAAACGACTTTTATACTGAATTAAATTATCTAGTGGTTGTTTTCTAAATTATATATATATTTAAAGTATAGGGAAATAGAAAAAAAATAGATAAATCCGATTAGCATAAAATAGATGTCCTATAAAACGTTTTATCTAAATTATAGGTTAGGAAAAAATAACTAGGTTTTTTGCACTACACGTGTTGTTTGTCAGTCTTTTTTGCATTTTAATCACTTCGTGTGACATGTTACAATTAATTCTTTATCTTAGTACATAATGTTTAACTTTCAATCTATCCAGATGTCAGTTCCTACTGAATTTGAGCGCAGAATGACTGAGAGTCTTGGCGGATCGACTCTGACCAAACATGTTTGATTCACCTCTCTTCAATCAGGTAAAAAAATAATAATTTTTAACCATATAGATTCAAAAAATAAATCAAGCATCATACACTTCACTTGAACCATTTTTAACGTAATTTCATTAACTCTATCTATTATTGAAATGAGTAAAAATAAATACATTTACTACTTCCTAAAAATATAGCCTGTATTATTCAGATAAATTACCTTTCTAACAGTAAAAGAATTTTTAAAATCGGCCCAGCAGTTTTTGAGTTATTTCAGTCATACAAAAATACAAATCTTTCCTCTTCATAATATATCTATACGCGTCAAATAGCTATCTCGTCAAATCTATAGCGTCAAACGTACAAAATCTATATCTATATTTATATAGGGTAAAACCGGGATAGATGCCGCAGAGGGATAGGTGCCTCAAATTCGAAAAACGTAACTTCCCGAACTCGCAATTAGGAATTAATCTTATAATTAGGAGCCGCATCTCCCCCTCACATTATTTAGGCGCAGATAGTGGTGCTTTGAGAACGTGTTTTGCTCGTACATTTTATTATCTCTACGGCGAAGTACACGAACACGTAAAAGTTTTAAAGGTTAGCATTTAGCGTTGTATAACTTTGTAATTAGTTATAAGCACCTTTATATTTTCTATTAAGTCAATGTACTGGTTTATTAAGTCTGCATTTAAGAGGCATCGTGGGGCAACTATCCATATAGGTAGGCGTCTATCCCAAAAAAAGGAGTTCCACGAAAAGCTAAATTCTGTAAAATCTGCATTTGATAGGTACAAAAATCTAATTAAAAAATGAAAATAAAGGATTTTTCTAGCTATCTTAAAAGAATTTTTAGTATAAAATTAGTGTTTTTTAAATTAGACGTCTTTTTCAAAAAGTGGGGCATCTATCCCGGTTTTACCCTAGATATATTTATATAGATATAGATTCTGTACGTTTGACGCTTTTTAAAGCGTCCGTGCGTCTACTTAGCTTTTTGTCTATGTATTATTTAGAAGTATCGACATTCAAATTAACGGTACAAATATAAAAAATGATGTATTAAAAATGATATATCTATATCATGATCACACATGAAATATAGTGTCAGTTTGGATATAAAAAGAAAAATTCCAGATTTCGGGAACCTAACGTATTTGCGTTGCTAATAACGAAAATCGCGTTTAAAAAATTGTCTGTCTGTCTGTCCGCAAGCCGCGTTTTTTTCTGGCCAGTCTCCGAAACGGCTAGGCCCATTTGGCGGAGACTTTCACTGGAGGGTAGCTGACATAAATGGGCATATTATAGGCTACATTTTTTTTTAATTCCGCGCTTTCAAAATGGTTACCGGACTGCTATGTGTGCAACGGGTGGACCGATTTGAAAGGGACTTTGGAAGATAGCTGGTAGAAGGTAGGTACACGCGGGAATGTGATAGATGACTTTTTTTAAATCCGCCATAAAGAAGTTTACGGGTGACAGCTCGTTCTTAATAAGATAGATTTATTATTTGTAATGTCTGTTGTATTTAACTGTACATTATTGCGCAGTGTTTTGTAACGCTTGGCGTATCTCTGGCGATGCTATCGGGCAGTCAGGCGATGACGTTCTGCTACGTCCTGCTGCCGCAACTAAATGCGATCTCTCCTCTAGATGATGAGCGAGCTTCCTGGATCGGTGAGTCAAAACTAAGAACATTTGAACGACAGTTAAAGAGCTAAGGGCTTATCTGTATTTTTATTCCGCTTAAATCTGTAAAAGATGTCTGATCAAGTAAAACATAAGTAGGTTTTAGGACATAGGATATTATAAAGACAAGACTAGCCACTGATCTCTGTAAATAGATAGGACAAATAGAAATGCCAGCTTAAGGTTCGTTCCAACTTTTTTTGCGTAGCTGTCACTAACAGGCTTGTTTTATTTAAATTTTTTCTGTACCAATGGAGATAATCAAATAGTAACAAAATACTACAGTTTATAGCCTGTCCATTTATAGAGATCAGTGGTTTGGTTACTGATAAGTTTACATTCTGTTGTTTTTTAGTGTTCAATTAATTTTTTTTGTTACAGCGTCTATCAATGGCGTATCATTGCCAATCGGACTTCTGATCACAACGCCGATGATGAACACATACGGAAGGAAACCTGCCAACATGTTTCGAGCCATCCTAGCCACAGTGGCGTGGATCTGCCTCTCTCTTACTTCAGATTACTACGTCATTCTCTTCTGTAGATTCCTGCAAGGCATCTGTCTCGGTTGCGCAGCTATCCTTGTTCCTGTCTTGCTTGGAGAATATTCCAGTCCAAAGTACAGAGGCGCCTGTCTCACAACAATAGCAATTTCTATATCCCTCGGAGTTTTATCCATACATAGTTTATCTTTTTTAAAATGGCAATATATATCAATGATATGTGCTACGATTGGTTTAATTAATATAATTATTGTTATATTTTCTCCTGAATCTCCGAGTTTTTTGGCTAGAAAAGGTAACTACGATGAATGTAGACGTATATTCAATTGGCTGAGATATCCGAATGAAGGACGTGAGTTGGAGAGAATGGTTGAAATTCAAATGACAGCTGTTAGTGGGAAAAAAGAAAGTTTTGGCAAAAAAGTGACAGATTTTTTTAATATGTGGAAGAAGAAAGAAGTATACAAACCTTTGTTTTTAATGTTCCATTTGCATATTATTAACGAATGGTGTGCCGCGAACGTCCACGATGCGTTCACAACGTACATTTACGAACGAATTGTAGGCGAAATGAAAATGTCATTTCTGATATCGACCGATATACTCCGATCGTTGTCTGGTATTTGCGCTATGATTATTGTTAGAAAACTTAGAAGAAGACTAATGTTATTAATAACAGTTTTATTAAACATTATAGCATTATTAATAATATCTGTTTACGTATATTTAAGGATGAATTTACTATTATCCTACGATCATTCGTATATTGGTGTATTTTTAATACATTTGTATGTATTTTCTTTTTCTTCAGGTAGTTTAGTTTTACCTAACATACTTGCGGGTGAGATATTCCCTTTACAATATAGAGGTGTTTGTCAAATTATATCACAATTATTTTTTTCTTTAAATTTAATAATTAATATGAAAACGGCGTTACAAATGTTCAATACTTTACAGTTATATGGTGCATTCGCTGTTTACGCAATTTTAGTGGCTTACGGTTTGTTAGTATCTCTGCTGATACTCCCAGAGACAAAGGATAAAACATTACAAGATATTGAAGAAGAATTTAAAGGTGTTCTTAAAGATAGGGAATTGAATAATTTAATAGAGAAACAAGATTTAATACGGTAATTTGTGTTTTATTTAAATTAAGTTAAGGTTTAATTTACAATTATGATACAGATTAAAAAAATATAATAGAATTATTACCGCTATTCAAATACAATTTTTTATCTAAAATTTTTTAAGAAAATGACCGGGACAACGATATAAGTTTTTTTAGTTTTAAAGGAAAACTAGCTATTCCCGTGCGACTTCATCCGCAAGAAATTATAAAAAAAAATATTTTATTGTTTACATTTGTCAATTTATCAATTACAAATGTCAAAATAACATGACGTGATGACAACCTTGTTTCCTTGATGTTGGCAGCAACTTATGGTCTCTTTCCCACTTAGGGTTTTTATCCAAAATATCTACCCCCTAAGTTTAATAGCGTAAAAATATATAGCCTAAAGCGTAACATAAGTGTAACTTTTTATTGAATAAAGAAGTATTCAAAAATATGGTGTAATTGCTGACATCTTAGGTAACAAAGAAGTGTGTGTTTACGCTTTATTATAATAGTATAGATTCACGGTTACAGAACATTTTGATGTAAAAATATCAATGACGCCACAAATGATATAGCTATCCTTTTCACTAAAAATTTTAAATTCATTGTAAGACTATAATTTTATAATAATAGTTACGTAATTTTCCTTATCCTACTCCCGTAGGGTCGACGCAACAGGTTTTTGTCCTCCAGATAACTCTATCATACGTCATCTCAGTCATCACTACCTTTTTGATCATGTCACCTTTTACACAATCCATCCATCTCTTTCGAGGTCTCATAACTAACGTTCTCCTTGTAACATGCGATTCATCCCTCCTCATAACATGCCCATACCATGCTAACCTTTTACTCCTAACCTTCTCTACTATGGGGGCTACTCTCAAACTTTTTTTTTTTATAGCATAAGGTGGCAAACGAGCAAGCGGCGCGCCGCCAAAATGGCGAAGCGACCGCTGCCCATAGACATCCGCAATAACAGATGCGTTGCCTACCCTTATACGACGGAAGAGGAGACGCACATAAAGAGCATATTTCCCCTTTCTATGCATCTCCTCCACCGTTAAATCCACTTCCCCTTCCCAACCTCTCCTTATAAGAAAAGGGTGGTAAAGAGAAAGGGACTTAAATTAGGCCTCCGGCACCACACTCATCAGACGAAACACGGAATTGCTTCCATTTCACGCCTGTCTTCTGTGTGGTCGTGGTATTACACCGGGCGTGCCGGCCCATTCGTGCTAAGATGTTAAAGCGGGCACTTCCACTGTTAAAACAACAACTTCCTCTAATATACTCATTTCGTATCTTATCTTATAATATCTACTATTATTATTAAGCATAAATGGCTTCAGTTACAAGCGTGCATAATGCATGCTGTCCACTGCAGGCGATGCTATACTGTCGTTTGTAAGAGCAATTGTAACAACTTTGTCGCTCCCCTAAAAATGTACTTTGATTATTTTTATTCTCCAAAGCCGGTGGCACAATGGACCGTTTCAAATTTCTACAGAAAATTTGCGTTTTTGCATAAAATGGTAGCTGGAGCGCACGCGTCTGCGACACATTAAAACGTACAATAACCATAAGTTATAGGTTATGTAGGACTTTTAGCAAAAAAACATCGAAATTAACTTTTTATTTGATAAATTAATAGAATGATGATGGGTTTTCTGACTTGCCATCATCTATGCTACTATAAAGAAAAAAAATGCATTTTTTTATGTATTGAAATAACTTAAAAACTGCTCTGATTTTAAAATTCCCACCAATAGTTTAGTTATCAGTAACAGAAACTATATTTATTTCCAAATGATACTTTCCGTATTTTCTGACACCGTCTGGTCATTTACCATGTTAATTTGGGTAAAATCCCGCACAACATGGTCACCTCAGCTTGCATTGTAACGAGAGTGCATTGTTGCATTTCGATTAATAAAAGCGATACAGTTTCCCAATTTTTTCCACAAAATTTAAATGGATCCCCCTCCGGTCATTAAAGCTCCGCCATTTGCATGAAATCGAAAGAATATTTTATTACATGGGGAATCGAAAATGTAAATCGTTACGAAATACAATTATTTATGCGTTTTTTTCAAACTTTTGTGTTTCATTTCTATTATTCTGTAGACATTAATTCTGATTTTTGTTTGATTTTTGCAACTAGCTTTCACCCGCGACTCCGTCCGCGCGTAATTAAAAAAAACAGAAGCATATAGCTTATGTGTTCTTCCAGACTATCCTCTACATCTATGCCAAATTTCATCAAGATCCCTTCTACCGTTTAGGCTACAAACTCTAACAAACATCCATCCAACTAAACTTTCGCATTTATAATGGTACTAAGATTATATCGAAAATAATACGTAACTTTGATCTCAGAGTTGAAGGTAATTATTATAATGTAATTTTGTTAAATGTATACCAATCATACTAATATTATAAATGTGAAAGTTTAGATGGATGGATGTTAGGTTTAAAGATATTTATTCTCATAAAAAACACAATGTTTCACTTACAATGAGAAAATTTAAATATGTACAATGTAATTATGAGCTTGCGGGTAAGTACATAATATAGTATAAACACAAAAAGACACTAGGTACACTATTAATTAATATAAATCAAAACAAGCCTTAAAATAATCTAAATTAACATAAATGACAAGTAACAAAGATATATGTATATACCTATAGGCAACTGAAATGATTTTATTATAGTTCGGCAATAATATGTAACTTTATTTTTGAAAATATTAATACTTTTACAATTCTTTATCTCGTCTGGCAAGTTGTTAAAATTCGTTAATGTTAGAGTTCGTAGCCGAAGCTGAACGGATCTCAATCAAATTTGGCATAGATGTAGAGAATAGTCGGGAAGAACACATAGGATACTTGCCTTTTTGATCGACTTCCCAAAAGAAGGAGGTACTCAATTCGTCTGTATGTTTTTTTTCTTTTTTTTATGTGTGTTACGGCATAACTTACGACATCAATGTAATAATAATTGTACAATAAAGACATAACAGCTACAATAAGGGAGGTTTACTATTTTCAAGGAATTATTTCGTTACTTTTTAGTGTACTGGTTTTTTTTTGAGAATATTTTGTTTTTAGAGTATTTTTTTTAATACCACGCAGAGTCGCGGGTGAAAACTAGTTTATCATGTTCATTAGTATCTTAAGAAGTTCCTTTGAGTTATTCGAATACTGTGATAATAAAATTACACTATTTTTTTATTCTATAATATTTTAAAGAGACAAGTTCGGTATTTTTGTATGTATTGAAATAACTCAAAAACTACTGGACCGATTTTAAAAATTCTTTTAACAATAAATTGCTACATTATCACTGAATAACATAGCTGTTTATTACAATTTTAATTATAAAATTTATTAGTAAGGCAGTTGTACAAAAGTGGGCCTTTTTAGAAAGCCAAAACAAATTCTTCAGTGTTTCCCACAAGTAAACGATGATACCAGGAATAACTAATAAACTTGAAACGAGTTCAGCAGGGTTAGACAGTAAAAAACATGAACGAAACGAAAGCGATTATCGTTCGATTGTGATTGGTTGAGACACTGACGTCTGACGTCACGCGTTAAAATCTTAGACAGTGACACGCACGAAGGTCGCTTTCGTCTTTCGTCTGTCGTTTTTCGACTATTTCCTTTAAAATTCCTAGACAGTAACACGAAATGACAAACATAATCGTTTTTAAAGCGACACGATCGTTCGTTTTTGAGGCGATTCTCAAAGGTGTCTCGTTTTTCTTCGAGATCAACTGAATCAACTTTAGTTAAATGTCTTTAATTATTATTAAATATTAATTTAATCTTCTAAGGTGAAAAATCTATAAATGGTATATAAATATAACCTTAGACCCTTTAGATAATGAAAAATAAACTTTATTTACGATCATTTTTATTTCAAAATTAACATAAAAAACATAAATTACACAAGTTACAAATAAAAACTATGTAAATGTTAGATGTTTTTGCATTTAAGACTGCTTATCAAAGCTACATTCTTTTCTCAGCCAACCCAAGGTGTCGCCCTCCGTGGGACTCGCGCCGTTATAACCTTTCAATTATTACCTTAGTTCTTTATTATAACCGGATTTAGAGGATAAACCCCTAGCGAACCTTGGCTCGCGCCGTTACTTCGTAATTATAACCAGATTGGTAGAATGAACCGCCAGCAGAAAAAAAGGAAGTAATGTCAATGAGAAAATTTTGTTATGGCGTCTTGAAGAAGTTTGAGGAATGTTTGTTGGATATTTATTGTATCCCTATCAGTCTGGGCTCTGACAGCTTCCCTTGCGTGAAGATTGGTTTCACGCAAGATTTCCAGCTCAAGCCTTTTTATATCTAATGCATGCTGCCTCCTGTCACGGTCCTCCTCCAACTTCAACCGCTGTAATTCCGCAGCAGCAAACTCTTTTGCCACTCGATCATACGGCGTCTCAATAGAGGAGGTCCGTCGCGTTGATTTTAAAACGCGTCTTCGTCTGTTCTGCGATGCATCTGTCAATAAATTATGTGTTTAAAGCTTGGTGGAAAAGCTAGGAACAGGAAAGATACAATCTAGAACTGTAGTGTTTCAATTCATATGTATGTTAGTATTTACCTTGACTGTGACCAAAATCAGATGTAGGATCAATTGCTGCTGAAGAGGAGGCAGCAGAGACATCACGGCGATTTGTTCGCTGCTTTTTTTCTCATTTTTATTAAGTTTTAAACTCGCAACACACTTGACTAACTTTTGAATCTCAACTGTATTTTTGACGTGAACATTTTACATTTTTATACGTCAAATTCAGATGACACAACAGTCATCGTCAGCAGAGACAATAATTAGTTTTTTTTGACGATTCACCTTCGTCTGCACGAAAGTGACTATCGTTTGTTACTGTCTAGCTTTCTCGGGAAAACGAGAGACGCTATCGCTTAGACGAAACGATGGAACGTTTCGTTTTTGGTTATTTACTGTCTAACCCCGCTGTTAGTTTTTCCAAACACCATAAAAAATACAGACCTTTCTTCACATCGTAAGAACTTATATTTTATCTATATTGATAACAGATTAAAAAACTAACTGTCAGATGATGAAAAGTAAATTTTGCTAGAATATTGTGTTGACGTTTTATGGCAAATTATTTTAAATTAACACCCCATAATCACAACTTGCACAGCTGTCAGAGATGTTTTGTTAAATCTGGGAACGGTCTAGAGATGACCCAAGCGGCGCCGATACCCTCGGTGCCTGTCCAGGTGTACGGGGACCTGGTGAAGGAACCTGTCAGTACCTTGCTCCCTGAAGTCTTGGAGCCATGTCAGGTGATATTCTGCAACGATTGTATAATAAGTTATGTACTAGATCAAACGATAAATTGTTGGTATAAATGTTACTTGCTTACAATCATAAATGCGAAAGTTTAGATAGATGTCAGTTTGTAGCCACTGAACGGATCTCGATGAAATTTGGTATAGATGTAGAGGATAGTCTGGAACACATAAGCTACTTACTTTCTTTATTCCACGCGGACGGAGTCGCAGGCGAACTCTAGTAACTTATGAATTCTTTGTAAAAATATTGATTTATTTTATGCAATCGAATTGACTTGAATTGGTACATGTAAATATCTTGTTTTTCCGAAAAAATGCTCTTAGAACTAAATAACTTTATACAAGGCTAGAAAGAGCGTATAGTATTGCCATCTCTTTCTTTAACTTAAACAAATCAGAGACAGGTGTTACAATACCGTCACATTCCTTACTAAGTATTAAATTTGCCAGAAGTCTGAGGAGCCACCGTCGCTACTAGAAGAGTTGACTTCGGTAGAACATCTGATGATCACGAAGCGTCTGCGGGTGAAGAGTGTGCTGTTTCTTAGGGGCAAGAGGAACCGCTTCCACGTGCGCACGCCTGACAGGAACCTAGTGTATACCGTGGAGGAGGAGAACAGGTCCAGCTAAAGATATGACCACTTAAAGACCGACTACATGCTGAATAATTTAATCAATACTTAAGTCATTAGTGTATACAATCCCTTATTTTGTTTTAGTTTTTTTTTTTAACATAATTAAACCAGCGCTTGACCATGACTCCACCTAAGCTTAGTGTAGACGCGGCCGAAGGATAGAGCACGCTAGCTCAATAAGTGCCGATTCACCCTGCTTTTGACTGGACCCACGTTATAACTGGACGGGAACACTGAGGCCGGCAACTTGTTTAGAATTTTAGTCCCGGGGTCCTGAAATACGCTGTTTATTAATAGTTCCTAAACATTAGTAATAACAAAATATATCCTATGTTACTCACAGATAAGTTACCTTTCTGATGGTAAAAGAATTTTTGAAATCGGCCCAGTAGTTCTTGCGCGAATCAAATAGAAGATACTATCTGTGCGGTATTATAGCCCGGCTTAGGCCTTTTGTGGCGCTTAAAATCAGTTAGTCTAGTAATTTAGACTTATTATTAATTGGTAAGTATTATTCTAGCTGGTGGGTGGGCTACTTCTGCTACGGTCTTCGTCCCCTCCAGCTCCGCGTGTGCAATAGTATGGGCGCGGAAGTTCTGCGCGTGCTTCGGCCCTACGCCTGCACGCCGCGAGTCCTGCCCTGTCAAATGCAACACCTCCAAGTCTTCAGTCCACCTGAACATCTCATAGGTACTATCGAGCAGCAATGGGCGGCTGTCAGACCGATATATCTGGTCAAAAAGGCGAACGGCGAAGAGGTCTTTTGGATCCGCGGTAAGTACTATAAAAATATTGTCGTTAATATTGGAATAGAAATATAAATAGGTTATGAGAGCAACGATAGTAGTCAGAACATTTCTTAGATAATCGATATCTGCAAAAGTCTACTTCGGTTAAGACCTTTTTAATTCTAACCCCATCTTTTTTTTCTCTTTATTTTTTATAGGGACTTTGGTCCCATAAAACATGTCAGTCCCATAATACCTTAAACTAAATACCAAAACCATAAAATTATAAACAAACACTACAAAATAAGAAAATGAAAAATAAAGAAAAACCAAAAATAGTATTTACAAATTGCTGTAAAGCTTTCAACACCATGTAGCGGTCTTCCGCTAGGTCCGTCAGTGAACTCCATCTTGACGAAGCCTAGATCATTACCTGGCAACGCCTATGAGAACTGTTTGTAGAAGCTAGTAAAACTAAAGTAAAACGACAAACTTCTAAAGGTATTTATTTATACGATTAAATATAAACCTTTTGAAGTTCGTCTCTTTTTAGCAACATTTGGGACAGTAAAATTAATTACGATAGTGTAGTATAAACAACGAAAGATTATGCACGAAAGAGAAGAAATATACAACTTATAGTAACAATAAGCGTCTTTTATCAGAATGTATGGATGTATGTTAAAAGGTTTTCTCAGGTCCGTTTATTACCCTGAGTTTATTCCGTGACGTGGAGTTCTGCATCGCGCGTGCTGACGGCGCCCCTGTCGGCAGCACCTGCAAGCGTTGGCAAGGCTTGCTGCACGCCATGTTCTTCGCTCCTATCACTGACAGGTATACCGACACCCTTTATCCTTATAGTTCTAATAATTTGCTTAGCTGCCCACTTTCATCTGACCACACATAGTGTTTCTCTTTATCTCTCCACTAGCTGTTCTCCTGCGACTTCATCTGCATAAAATTACGCAAATTTTATTTTATTCTTTCCATGAGTTAAATAATCAATTGCAAATGTCAAAATACCAATCACCTTACTATGGCAATTTTTGCTTTCTTGATGTTGGCAGCAACTTATAGCCTCTTTCTCACATTAGGGTTTTTAACCAATATATGAACCTCCTAGGTTTAATGGCGTGAAAATATATAGCCTAAAGCATGACATAAGTGTAGGGCTTTTTATTACAAAAAGAATTATTTAAAAATATGCTGTAATTGCTGACATCTTAGGCAACAAAGAAGTGTGTGTTTACGCTTTATTATAATAGTATAGATTCACAATCTAGTTTACTCAAGAGCATTGAATCCGGATTACTTAAAGACCTACAAATCTCGAAAATTATCTTTTTTTTTGTTTTGTTACCCGGATTCAATGTTCTTGAGCAAACTTACATTGTATAAACGAGAGTATTTTGGCCACTGACTCGGTAAATTAGCCTAGTACGAAATAAGTCGACTTGAATACACTAAATGTTTCTCCTTGCAGATTTAACGTCGAGTTCGACCGGAGTCTGTCAGTGGAGGAGAAGGCACTGTTACTTGCCGCGACGCTGCTCATAGACTACATGTATTACGATGTTTGATATAAATTATTCATATATTATTGTTTTTATTATGCGTGTTTTATTGTACCTTGTACCTTAGTACAATTCTTTAGAGTTCAATATATATAGCTACGAAAGCTCGTTAAATGAATTTTCGTAATTTTTCAATTATTCAAGAAATAAATCAAATGGACATAAGATTACATTTTATTCTATATTTGCTATTCCGATATGGTCGTAGTTAATTCATGTTTTTTTATACACAAAAACGTCAAATTTCCCCTTAAAAATTAATGTCCTGCACGCTTCCGCCACCCCTATTTGCATTGTATTTAAAAACTTTTTTTCCTCCGGCAGATGTCCGATGAGGTAAATGGTGCGAAATTTTGACAGAACGTATAATTTTGGCGCGCAACAATGACGTATAGATGTCGCACAGAGTAAAAAAAAAGTTAATATCGCGATGCGTTCTTTATCGAACCCTTTTCCGACGGATTGAATTCGATTATGTTTTCGCGTAAAAAACAACCATAAAAGGGTGCGTTTTTTTACCAGATTTCTGGAAAAACAACATCGGGGTGAAAGTTTATGTAGGTCACTGGCTGCGGAGCGAATTTAGTTTTTTTTAAGATATAAAGCCGTGGCGCGCGCATGTCGTGTGCCAGCAAGGGTTTCAAAATAGACAATAAAACTCTTTGGAAAATGATTTAGGATTTTTTTAGTAATCTCGTAACGGATTTACGTTTTTGTTAGAAAAAATGTACTTTTTTGATAAAATATATTTCATTGTAAATGAATAATAAGGTCGTAGGGCGATGTCAAGATTAAAAAAGAACGTAATTTTTTGATCGATTGCATATTACGCTACGCCATTTGGGCTCATATTTTTAAGTTTTAATTTTTACATGTACTTAATTATTCTTATCTTTGAAGAGTAAAATGAATTTTTAAGTACTAATATACGGAAAAGTAGTTAATTTAATATAGAAAAAAGGCAAATGAGAGGTATATATAGTTTGAGCGACCAAAACGATTTTAAACTGCAAACATAAATAACCTAGTTAAAAAAATGTATTAAAGCGAAACCAAACAAAAACACGCCTCTAAATTACATATGAGCATGTTTTTATTTTTAAAATGTAAAAAATTTTGAATAATCGAACAACAAAACCATTTAATAACAAGTAATTCCATAAAATTATCAATAAATAAATCACGCAATTACGACCCCCATACGAATTGTAGAAAACGCGACAAAAATACTCTTAATTAAAGATTATATCCGCGTCAACTGTCGGCTTTACACTAATCTACAAAAAAAACACTGTTCGTATAAAAATTCCCTGTTTTGTGAAAAAAAAAAAACTTCGACACCCATTAAAAATCGCATCGGAGGGTCTTGTATTGTAGAGAGCATCTGTCAAATGTATAAACGGGGGAAAATGGTTGAAGAATTGTTTAAAAAATGGGTTAAATGATAAAAAAGCATGGCAACCCTGTGAACTGTCATGCGGGGGTTAAGCCCGCGTGACGTGTGTCAACACGCGTTTAAGTTAACCTCACTATCATTCGATATGATATTTAGTTACGGGTTAAAATATATTGAATTTTAAAAAGTTTACAATTGAAAGGACAACTTTTGAAACAGGTCTATTGAAAATTTAACAAAAAAATAATACAAAAAGAAGTCAATCGTGTTAGTCGTTAATTTGCAGGTTATGCCATCGGCCATCAGTAATCTCATGCTTTGTTTTTAGAAAAGAAAAATGTTTCCTACTATTAGTAATATTATTACTAACACAATAAACAGAATAGAATATGTTATTTCCTAATAATTACTTACAATTTATACAAACAATTTAAATTATTGTTTTCTATTGCATTTAGTTTAATGAAGTTCTCAATTACGTTTGTTTCCTTGGAATTGTTCAGAGGAAACACAACTTTCTGCTTAGTACATTATGAGTCAGAGCTCACATAATGTAAACAATACACCTAGTTGAGTATACTTGCTTACGCATTTACACAACAGTCTTTGTAATATTCTGTACTAAACTCCACTAAGGGAAACATAGAGTGTCGGCGGCTCATTGGTTTAAGCACTTGACTTGTAATCAGGTCTTGGGTTCGAATCCCGCTGTGCCAATGTGATTTTCGATTATTAGAATTTTCATATGTACATAATTTACCCGACGTTCTTACGGCGAAGGAAAACATCGTGATGCCTGCACATATCGGCGAAGAAATTCAAAGATATGTGTGAAGTCAACTAACCCGCACTTGGCCAGCGTGGTTGATTATGTCCTAGTCACCCCTAACTTAGGGTAGGCTCCAAGCACCTCGGTGGGAGCGTATAGTGAGCTGGTGATGAAGGGAAACATATAGACGAGTCTTTGGGTATAGCAGACAGGTCCAATGAACCAATAGTCTTGTTTATCTGGTTTAATTTTCCCTCATTTGTTACGCACTTACGCAAATGCGTAGATTATTTACGAATACAACGCTATACGTTGCTAAACGCTCTTCAATAATTACAACAAACCACAAAAACTGACGCATTTACCTTGTTCTGAAGTTTCTTTCGTTGTTACAAACCTTTTCAAAACACTCTTACTGACCGCAATGTCGTCATTTAATTTTCTAGACAACTTCTTTATGATAATTAGGAATGTTAGAAGGAAAACAACAGAATTATATTTGTATATTTAATTTATTGAATACGGTAGAAATGCTTTTTGTAATGGAAAACAAACAACAGACGGATCTAGGAACATATACCGACCGCAAGCCATAGATTACATAAGTTTTTAGGTTATTTTACCGCCTTTTTCTATCTGACATAAAAAATAATCAAAGAAAAAGGAGATTATTTAAAAAAAATATTCTTAATAATTTGTCTTTAATAACGTTTAATGAGGTATTTTGTTTTTAAATACAAATTTTTAAACACAATTATAAAATTAAATTATCAAAACGGACGGTTATTGTATTTCAAATAAATCTGGTTAGAAATAATCTTTTACATCTTTTTTTTTTCAATATTAATATTTGTCTTGCATTTGTTTAATTTTTAATCAATATCGTTATAAATAAATTAGATTATTCGGTTATTGTTATACAAAATTAATTGTAGATTATAGAAATTATTGTTGTCATAGACTATTAGTCATAGACTAACATAAACTGCGATGGCTTGCGGCTAAAGTGTGGCTCTCTCCCAGAGCCATAATATAATTCTTTTTTTTATATAAATTACATTTTACCAAACGTGGACGTCGAATGTAGAATTATTAATTGTAAAAATATGACAAAATATTTTCTCTAATATTATATTGAGGTAGTTTGGTTTCAAATTTATCAACAAATTACTATACATATTTTTAACGCTCCCACGACGTCCATGTCTGAAAAATACATTAAAAGAATTGGACTAGAATTAACACGGATGTATTTAATTGATAAAACAATCAATTATTAAATACAGTCGCACGTAAAATAACTTTTTACCTAAAACTAAATACAGCACAGACTAGAAATGACACAAATAAATATTTACACAGATAAATAATGGAATGTAACATCTGACTTAAAGGACTTGGTGTTACTATATTAAATGCTAAAATAATTTGTGACTAGGAAATTAAGCCAAAAATAGTGTGATTTTATAAGCGATTTTGTCAATCTCTCTTAATTTATATATTTTTATTGACATATCACTAGTAAAATCACACGCAAATAATTATTAAAAAACATAGATTATAAATAATGTGATCGATATTTTTCTAGGAAATGCATTGATTTCTTTTTTTTAATACATTAGTTTTTTTAATACGTACCAACGATTCAACATTTAATTTTTCAATATGTTAATAATTAAAAAATTACATGTAAAAAACAAGATGTTTGTGTTTCATATAACATTTTTTAAAATATTATAAATAGATTTGTTAACAGCATTTCCTCATTTTCATTAATTTAGTATTTATTTTAACAAAATGTTATTTGAGATAATTCTTTTATATTAGAATACTCATGAATAATAAATATTTTTATGTCCTGTATTTGAGTCTGAATTGTCTATGGAGTATCAGTGCTCAATTTGGAAGAATTTAGGAACTAATTTTTAGAATCACTTAATATTTTTAAATGGCAACAAAAACTCATAATAAATGAGTGCGACTGTACGACGGCGTGCATTGTACCCGAGTGAGAAATATACATAAACTATTTCTAAAAGTACGTTGTAATCACCCCTGCAATAGTTTTAGCTATACTTAATATTAATTTGTACTGTATTTCAGTTGCACCATACACCGTTAACTTACTCGGTTCAACGTTCTACTGCGATTAATTCTATATTATTGGTCTAAACCACATCGGGTACAACGCGGTACGAAACAATCCCGAAAACACGCAAATCTACTCGATTTCGCCCGGTCATAAAATTCAACAGTAAAAATTTCCGCGCCTAAATGTCAAAATGCTCCGCCATCTTGGAATCTGTACGACCGGCGAGATCATGCACGCGTACAATTTTTTTTTTTATTAAATTTGTTATTTTAAAACATTATTAATATAATTTGTTGTTTCGCGCGCTTGCGACGACTCGTCGCGGGGGTCTGTGTGCGGGAAGACTATTTCGGAAGATATTTAATCTATAATAAATTAGGAACGGATCGCCTACATTATAAGGAACGTATAAGGAACATTATTAACTCACAAGCCTTTGTAATAACATAAATGCTATCTGTAACCAGCCAGTGCAATCTTAGTATCGGAAGCCTTACCCTGAACATCACCTTTTTAATATTTCAGGCAGCCCCCCACCCCGCGGCGACTCGCACACGAGCGACCTCTAGTTTTAATTATAAATTACAACTTACGTACATACATAGGAACTTTCTTTAGAAGCTGCGTGGTTTATACAAGCTAACTTCCACAATGATCTACGGAATAATTCATTAAATAAATCTGTCACCTTGTCAAACGAGACACGCAAACGTCAGCCAAAGTGCACTTTATCTATCTCGTCAATCCAGTGGAAACATTCTTTAATATCGACTTTGTAT